GTATTGTTTTGTCTTGTTTTTGCGCTGTCTTGCGTGTCACTGTATCCAGCATGTTGTAGTTGGAACCCGTGCCCGCCTTCAGCGAGTGCGCGAGCCGAAACCCCAAACGCTCAACCTAGCACTCCGAAGTTTTTTTTTTGTCAGGTGCCGAATGCGCGACCACATCAGCGCGGCCCCGAAGGGATATCTTGGAAGATGGAAGACCGAAGCCATCGATTCACAGGGCCCCAAGTACATTCTTTCGGATCCCCGTAAGCTTGTGAGTCCCCCGGAATGTTCGGACCCGAGATCGTGAGCAGACAGATGGCAAAATTGCTTGATTCAAGTTCTCACGAGCATGGCCAAACCGGGGCTCGGAACTAGGTCCGCAACCTCCGAACCAAGACATGTTGGGAAACAGAAAGCCCTGGGGAGGATACCAGTAGTACAGGTATCTCTCATCCCAAAAAAAGTCGAGCGGGAGGCACGCCTCAAGCCTAAGGGAAGGGACTTGCTTTCCACCGAGGCCGGGAAGCTTGTTCGGCTTGGCTGCAGACCTAGGCCTCGGAGGCGGGTCCCTCTGAGAGAGATTTCCCTACGTTGTCTCGGGAGTCTCTGAATGTTTTGGATGTTACAAGTAGCGGCTTTAGGGGTTGCGTTTCTTGTCTCCGTCCTGGTCCTGGTTGACTAGGAGTTTTGGGCCTAGGGAGTCTAGGGTGTTTGGTTGTGCATTTATTGTTTTTTGTTGACACGGGTGTTGGTGGGTTTTTAGGGTTTTGAGGGCTCTGGGTTTTCGGGCTTAGGGTCTTAGGGCGTGAAGGGCTAGACTTGAGGCCAGTAGCAAAAAGGAAGTTTGCAGTGAGGCGGGGTCGGAGGGAGATGTCCGGGACGAGAGGGAGGAAGAGAGAGAAGGAGCGACGACGGGAAGCGAGGAGGATGGATGACTTATTCTGGACAAATTTTCAAATTGAGGAAAATTCAATGCCGACTACCGGAACTGCTGTCACCACGACCGTGGCCAACCACCAGCACTGCCACCCGAGAAAATGTGCTGACTCCACACTACGAGGACTGCTTCCAGTGTAGTATGCTGCATAGTACCAGATGCGAGCCATTGCTATGAGCCCCAAACTGCGCCCATAAGCCCCTCACAGCCCGAACCCCCAAGGCAGTAATAACGACCATGGAGAATGCAGGTGCCCCGACACCGCCAGAGGCAGCCGAGGCCAGCTAAGGAGTTGCAGTCGCGGTTTCGATTTTGTTGCGATAGACATCAAGGCTGAGCGCTTGAAGGTTTGTGGTTTTTTGGGACGTAGGCAGCACCTCAGGAGGCCTGGCTGCATAAAGGATGTAGGCGGGTCTGCAGTCATTTCAAGGGGTTTGGAAGGGTGGGGTTGCCTTTGAGATTTTGAGCCGTGGCTTGGGCCTCAATTTGGAGTTCTTAAAGAACGGAAGCGATTGCGTAGATAGGCGGGAGTCGACATGGGTCGAACACGGACTGCAGCTGGCATGTGTTTCTTTGTCACTTCGGCATGCAGCTTGTTTATTCGGACTCGCAGCCGTCCCTACACTTCAGCCCCCCATGCAAGCCCCACGCGGCACATGCCTAACAAATGCACGATCCCGGCCAGGCCTGCGACATTGATGCTCGCCTACAGGCGCTTCAGTCTTTCTTGAAGCAGACGAAAAACATAGCCGCTTGAGCCGAAAGAGCTCGCCCCGACCTCCTCATACTGTGAAGCTGTCCTTTTTTAAGGGATCGTACCATAGTGAAACTCCCGCATGTTGCAAGACGTGAGCCGGAAAAGAGTCGACTGGAGGCTTGGCGGTGTTTCACAGCATCCAATTAAAAGACCCGGAGGCTGTTCTAGACCGAGGCCTTTGAATCAGTACCACACTAGACCAGACCGCATTATAATCTACTGTAACAGTGCAACACACCCGACGGTCGTAATGCAACATAAGCATAGTATAGAACACGAGGCACTTCTACAATGTCACATACTATGCTACTATAGTATGAGATAGAATCTTGTGGCTAACTTGCTTCTAACGAATTAGACTGCAGTATGATGATGCTACGATCACATCGTCTCAGTTCCAGAAATACATGTTCGAAACCATGGCCCTTGCAGAAATTCGAGCCCAGATCTGGAACATCCTCCAAGTAGAAGGGACTCCCACCTCTGAGGACAGGCCATGGAACTGCCAAGCCCCAAGATCCCTCCAAGCAGCCGCTAAAACCTTGGACCGTAGAGAGCCATTCAAGAGAGCGAGACAGTTTCACGTCTTAGAGGCACTCCTCAATTGACAGCTCACTTCGCGTCACGCAACTGTCAAAAGGTGGAGGTAACAAATGCATTTTTCACGTGCACTGGCTTGCATCAGCCAGCGGAAAGCTCCATGAGGCCGGGGCACCTCATGCCCTGCTTAAAAGACGAGAGAAGCTGTGGAGCTCAAACTCGGAAACCTTCAATCCGGAAGGAGATGCGCCCAAAAAGCCATAGCCGCCATAGCCAGTCCTCAGAGGTTGGCGGCTCTCTCGCACTCTCGCAGCCTCTGCTGTGGAAGGATCTGTTCTGGGATCCTGTGGATTGCCTCCGAAACGTAGTCCTCGAAGTTTGCCTGCACCGCACTATGCCGCTCTGCTTCTTTCAGTCCTTCCCAGACACTCTTGGCTCGAAGCAAGAGCCGCCGGGAATGCAATGAAGCAGCCCTGCCTCTGTCAGTGACAGAGGTTGCCGCCGATGGGAGTTGCATAGCATCGATGCCAACAGCAAAAGCATTGCTCCTCCTCCCCTTCGCCATTCTTCCCGTTCGTCCGTTTGGATGCTGAGACCGGTTCTAGTCGGAAGGAACCAGTGATTTGTAACGTAGTAGTCCGGTTGTGGTCTTTTGGAAATCCAGGCTCAGCATTAGGGCTCATCTGAAGTGCGAGGGGTGTAACCCGGAGAGGCTCTCGAAGGCTTGGTTTCTGTAACCTCCCTTGCTGACAGAAGTGGGCTGCCTGCATGTCAGAGCTACGCGCTGCAGACGCGAAAAGAGTGCACTCGCAAACCCTCCCGCCGGACTCCCGCCTTCTTGGAGTGTGAGAGTTGAACCCTTAGAGGTACCTAAAGGGGCGTTTCCCCCGTAGCCCCCAACATGATCAAGAAATCCTTGAAAGCCCACCAGAAAGCAGGATCCATCAAAGTCTAAATCCTAAAATGCCTGAGTTTCATAGGCTTTCTTGAGTAAGTCTCCCAAGCAGGCCTGTTGTGCCTAATGTGATAAAGGCCTCTAGGACCCGCATGTAGCTTCGTGATGTCAACCGCTGCAACTTTACAAAAACCATAATCCTGATCGAAAGCCGTGATCCATGCTTGGTTTGGGATGTTGTAAGGACCCGCGATGCGCAAGAAACTGAATCCGTCGGCCCACCTCAGTTCCACGCCGGGAGCCCCTCCACTGCAACACACGTGAAGCATTGGTCTTCATGCTTCCCAGCGACCGCTGCCCGCATCACTTTTGGTGCATTGTCTGGTGCACTCTGGGTGCACTGTCCGGGCTCTTGCTTCTGATACGGAGCTGTCCTATCGTGGTCAGACCTCCGAGATGCCGCAATTCTCCAGGGAGCTGCGACGCCATCGCCTGGCAAAGTTCCCCACCTGAAACCACACGGTGCATCGCTGACAGACCCTTCACCGCATTTCGTGTGCCGGGGTTTCGGGCCTGGGCAGCTGAACAGAGGGCTGGAGGCTGAAGCCTTTGGCGTGCTCCAGCAGTTTCTGCTTGCAAAAGTCTAAACATATTTTAGGGGAAAAAACATTTTTTCCCCAAAAAATATGTTTCTTTGCTAGGGCCTGTGCTTTGTGCTGCAGCCGCTCCTCAGCATCCATGTCGAAGCGCGCGATGGAGCCGCGACGCCTCAAAGTGCTGGTGCAACCCGGCGGTGCAATGTTCCCTAAACCCTAAACCCTGGAGACCGAACCATGCGGAGCCTTGCCAGCCTTGTGCGAGTGTGCGAGTCGAAAACCCAAAACCCTAAAACCCTAAAGCCTTAAACCCTAAACCCTTTGAAGCCCTGGGAGCTTCTGGCACCCGCTCATGACTTGGGTCAACACGGGGAATTTCGATAGGTGTGGGACTGGGACTCCGATTGTCTCTCGTAGTCGGCTCCGCTTGTATACGGTACCCATCAGATTGAGAACTCTTTCATGAACCCTGATGTATATAGACAACCGAAAGTGCCTTGATAAATTCTTGCCATAGTTTCCCAGTCCAAACCCGAAGCCCGAAACCCCCCGAAAGAAAGCATACTTGAGAGTAACCGTTACTGCATACTCTTGGCAGCCGCAAGCACATAAAACAGAAGTATCTACACAGCTGCGACGTCTCTCCGCCGCTCGACTGGGAGGCAAAAGCACCTCCGAAAGCCTAAGCGCCCGAAATCATAGTAGCCTAGCATCCCAACTTGAAGCCTAAACCGAAACCCCACATAGCAGGATAATTGAAAAAACGGACCCCAGCCAAGGTGGTTCGTCGGCAGCCGTGGAGATGTGTTGCCAGGTGTGGAGCTCTGCAGAGCGCTGAACGATCGGGGCCACGAGGCCTGGGTCTCTTAGAAACCGTTTTCGCGTCAGGATCGTATTACGGGGCTATTCGGGCTCCGGGTTGCGCAGCCACAGACTTTTCTGCAAGAGGGTTTCGGAGTAGGTTTTGGTGGGAGTTCTGGTGTTTTGATGTGTTCTGCATTCTGGGTTAGCGCGCGTGAGTCTGGTGGTTGGTGTTTGCGACTGCGCTCAGAGGCCCGCCTGGTGTCGGGTTTCACAGACACAGCTGCATCATTGCAACTGTGTGGCAACAACCAAAGACCGTGCTCCAGCGGCCAAGCTCGGTTTCGAAGGGTACATGAGAAAGGTGCAATGCAAGACCCAAAATGGCCCAAAATCCTAAGGTCCTTGGAGTGTTTAGGGTTTCGAGATGGACTCCCGAGCCCTTCAAAAAACCAAGAGATGGGCTCCCCGAGCTCTCAGGCCGCCATGGGCGTCACGCCTGGGCCAGAGGAGTGCATCCGTGCGCGGCCGGGCTTCAGACTTGGGACCCGATGAGGGTTCTACGAGCGGATCGGGCTCTCAAGTCCAGTGGCGACAAAAGGGCGTACGGTTTGAGGACCACAGAGGCACAGACACTTCAAGTGCATATTGAAACTCTGACCCTCAGCAGGTTATGTTGGGATGCTTTGTTGCCCCCCGCGGTGGCCCTAGTGGCGTCTCCAATCACTGACGAATTCAGTGCATTCCTTTTAAAGCAACTCCGAAGCCAACCCAATTCCCCAAGTTGTACAACAGAAGCTTCTTGAGAATCCTGAGTGCAAAGCCAGAAGAGACACAATCGACAGAACTTGGTCCAAAGCCAGATCAAAGAATGCTTGGGACGCAGGAGAAGAATCATACCAGAAGGCTTCAGCCGTGAACTGTCGGAACATGCGCCCCTTGCAGGCTGCTCCCATGACTCTGCTTCGCTCCAAGGTATGGGGTTCGCTGCATCACTTTGGGCGCGACTCCTTTCAAGCTGCGAGATGACACGAGCATCATGTCGGACGAGGACCTTGGCCCTCTACGCAGTTCTCAGAGACTTTGGATGCCAGCTCCCCAGTCACCAGAACCCGAATCCTACACCCAAGCCCACGCAACGCCAGGAAGTAGCGATCTTCCGGCGGTCGATGAATCCTCGTGAGTACCTGGAGCTGGAGAAGAAATACAGCGTCTCCTGGAACTTGGATGAGCCTTGGTTCGCAGCTGTTTTTGCAGCTGTTTCAATTTCTTGGTTCCAGGGTCTTGCGTTTGCTCTTCGAATCCGTTCATTCTTGCTCTCTTTCTCTCCCTCTCTCTAACATGTTCGTTGCCCTCTGTCTCTTTCTCTCCTGCATTGCCTGTCACATGTTCTTGTCCTGGCTTGTCGCGAAAACCACCAGAGCATGACATCTAGACTGGGCCGTATGCTTTGCGTCCCCTGTTATTTTCTGGGTCTACTTTTCACAGAAGACCGAGTGAAACTCTGGGCTGTTGGGCTGCTGTAACTTTTCCAGGACTCCCTGCCCGATGCTCTCCGAGCATGCCGCGACTTGATGCAGCAGGAGAGTGGGCAGAAAAGCCGCATGGGGCTAGCGGCTAGACGCAGCACGGAGCCAAAAACCCATGTCCCCAGGAGCACTTTGATGCCATCGTCTGCTCCGTCATCACAGCGGTGGTCGCTCGCAGTCTATTCCCTGATGGGGCTTAGCAGCCCAAAGACTTCCTTGTTGCTCCTTTTGGACGTGCACTGTTGAGGCTTCGGTCCGCTTGTTGAAGATGTTCCCGCACCTGTGCATCATCCGCACGGCTTACTCCTTTGCCTCCTTCGTTCCTCCGACGCGAGCGTGGCCACCAGCTGGCTACACGGACTCTCCCCACTGCTATGGCAGCTGAGCAGCACCAAGCTCCGCAATTGAAGTACGCTATGTGTTGAGGTTTCATCCCGGCTTGACTTGTGAGACTGTGCTTGCACAATCCCTCAAAGCCCAGGCTTCTTCAACAAGCTGAAGCACTATCACTTTCTCTTCTTTCGCCTCTTTCCCTTCATCATGAATGCATCTCACGCGAAGCCGCTTGATCAAGATCGATTGAAAAGAGAGAACGGAAGCAAGACATGTGGAAAGACTCACAATCGTGATGGTACAAGCAATGCAAGAAGTTGATAACTGTTGCCAGCCGATGAGCATGTGGTATACCAATACGACAATGCTCCTGCTACTGTAGACCTTGCCAAACTTGTCCGGGTGTGAGTGTCAAAAATAAACTCCTGCTGCTGCCGCTCCTGCTCCTGCTAGTACTGCTTCGAAAACGAAGCTGCTGATGCTGCGATTTCTGCTATTTCGACGACGGCCACCACCACAACCACCACCATGAAGCAGCTCCAACTACTACCACAGCCAACTGCTGCTGCTGCTGCTGCTGCTACTACTGTGCTGCCACTGCCAATTGCTATTCAGTTGTGCTACCACGACTGCTGCGGCACGAATTTGGGAGCAATACAATGGCTCTGACTGGAGAAGAGCGATGCTGACATTAGCATCAGTTGTCGTTGTGGGATCTTGCAGAATCGAGCCTACCGTGAGTGTGGCGAAAGCAACAAGAAGACTTCCAACTGGAGCACCCGAAGCAATGCGAGGCGCGAGCAGGAGCGGGTGCGGGAGATTGAGGGCGTGAACCATGATAACGGCCTCGGTTTGCCACTTGGACTCGAAGGCTAAACCCTAAACCCTAAACCATAGCTTTGCCAAGACTTTGAAGGGGAGATGAAACCAGGTTGACGTGTGAGCCATTTTGGCAAAGTGAGAAGAGCAGGGCATGGTTCGGGTAGAGAGTGACTTGATCCTTTCCATCCTTTCTTACGTCTTATTACATATTAGGTGTGTTACCTTTACCTTATGAGGTCTACAGAAGCTGGATGAAGTGGGTCGTCACTTTCTAACTGCTACTGCATGCTGGACGTGGAGAAGGTGTTGTTTGAGCAGTTTAATTAGAAGGCCTTGTTGAAGAGTACGGTGGACTGTGTAATTAGGTGTATCGAAAGCTTCCCCTTGACAACCTCGCCTGTGAGCATAGATCTCTTCCATGCGAGAGGGAAAAAAACCCTAAACCCTAAACCCTAAACGGCAATCTCGGGGTTAGAGAGAGGATGTCGGTGCAAGCTCAGATTCCCCAATGGCCAGATGGGAGTTTCAGAAGATACTGCAATGGCTTGCAGCAGGAACCCCATTAGGTAGAAGCCCTTAGTAGCAGGATCCCGGATGTCGAATCTTAACACTTTGAAGAAAAGAGGGTGAGGGGTCTCTTTTTTCGCTGGGTGCCCCAAGACCTCATCAGCCCTCCTAGCCCCTGGCTTTTCGGACGCTACGCAGCCGTGCCGACGGAAAGAGGAGCTCAACAAAAGAGACGGAACCTGCCACACAGCTAAACCCTAAACCTTAAAGCCTAAACCGGGTCAACGTACTTGGAACCTCGACAGGCTTGTCCCAGTTGTGAGTGCTGAAACCCGGTTTAGGGTTTGGGGTTTCCCTGGACCAAGGTTTGCGCAAATAGCAGAGGTGCCGGAGCTCGGACCCGCGGCTGTCAAATGAAGTGTAACTGGGGTTTCTGAGAGAAAGGGGGCGGTTTCTTATATGGGGCATATCAGGTTTAGGGGCTGTGGGTGTTTGCAAAGGCTTCTTCGCTTCTTCTAGCCGGATCGAGACGCGGACTCGTCCTCTGCAGTAAGGCGTAAGGGTTTCGTTCTTTTCTACCAGTGACACGAGAGACTGCTAGGATTTTGTGTTCTTAGGTCCGAATTAGTTGTGTGGCCTATTGCTTCGCAAGACAGTTGGTGCCCATGCTTTGGCGGCCCTGGTTCCCAGAGCCACGCTTGAGATGAGGGCCGAATAATGGGATTCAGTACGTCAACACCGCCTGTTGATGCACATGGCACATGACCTTGGCCCGAATCAAACCAGGCATCCCGTAGATACACCGAGGACTTTGGAGCAAAGAGCTGCAACCGCCGCCGAGCGATTTTCCAGCAAGCCACACGGTGACGGGTTGCATTTTCACTCCGAAGTTGGAGGCAGCGCAACGATGCCGCTGAATGCCCTCTTGTTGCTGTTCTCATACAAAAGTGCTCGTTCGTGAGCCTGCAGCGTGCGGGAGTGCATCTGGCTGTTCGGAGAATTCGTGTATATTCATGTCATTTCAGCAGCCATCGTCAGATGAGCTTGGCTACCGTATTTAAGGCTGTCGGGTGAATGCAGCTGCCCCTGAAGGACTGGAAGCCTTCCGAAGCCCTGGACGCTTTCATGCAGAGGAGGGACGCCCAAGGCCGCAAGCCGGCTGTGATCACCTTCGGATGCTCGGCCATGCGTCCAGGGGTCTCCACATACATGACACTTGTTTCCGGCTATGCATCGTTTGGGGTACTGTGGCATTCCTGCCTTTCCTGGTTGTGTCTTCGTTTTGTTCGCTGATCTGCGCGGTTCTTGGCGGTTTCCAAGGTTTCGTGGCCTACACACATTCAGATTCAGATCATAGAGGCAAAAGGATTGGTTAGCTGGGCCGGGCCTCTCACGATTTACAATAAACGGGGCTTATTGCTTGGGGCAACAGGGACAAGTACGCGAAATAGTATGACGAGTAGTACAAGGCCCTAGTGACGATCCAAGCAAGTGCTTAAAGATGGGTTGGTTTGCACATCGCAGTTGGTCCAAAACATTTGAGAGTTCTGGTCGGTCATGTTTCTACAGAGGGCACCGCGGTTTTCGATTCGAAGATAGGCAGCACGCAGAATTAGCAGAAAGACGTGAGGATGAAGGATGGATATGTGCTCGCATGTTGCCTATGTGGTGCGCATCTTGGGCCTATAATGATAGGACCTATCATCCACAAGAGATGTGCATGTTGGAATGGCTTTCTACGATTTTGGAACATCTGTAGGGATTGCCGCTGCGTAGAAAGACCCTTGAGGATGGCACGGCCGAGTAGGGATAGACTGGGGAGGATTCTGGAGGCCGCACGCAGGTACAGTCTGCAGGTCGCACATTACACGTCCACGGTCCACGTGTTGCAGTGAGAAAATGACTTCAACAGACGTTGCACTACACACAGAACAATCACGCTCTCTTTTGTCACCCATGTGAAGGTCCAGAGACCACTTGCAAGTCAAGGGATGATTAAACCTTGACAGGACTCGAGAAGCTTGGAGACGAGAGGAGGATTGGTAGGTGTGAGCGATTCAATATTTAGTAGTTCGTAGGTATTGAATACAGATGTGCTTCAGAATCGGACAGTACCGGAATGGCAACGTGTGATGGAGTGATACTTAGAACAGTGCGCTAAAGTCTACCTGTTACTGGAGCACTGGAGCGAGAATCCCCTCGAGGTTGCATCGGTGGCGTTGCAGTGTAGCAGAGAACTGGAAGAGGGAGTTCTCGAGTAGATAGTTTCGGGAGTGAGGGCGCCATGAAGTAACGTAGGGCAGAGGTAGCAAGACGATAATGGAGTAAGACAGTACCATCGAAGAGCAACCGGGCCTCACAGCCACAGAGCCACGGGAACATAGCGGCATCATGTCAGTACCATCGTTGCATATGGGCCACGCGGCACTGAAGTGGATGTCTCGACCAGTAGCGAGGATCTATGATGTCGTTGGGCATCGAAAAGGTCCAGAACAGTACCCTACAAGCTCTTCAGAAGATGGGCATGAACGTTGTGAACTTCGTTTCCAAAGCGCCGAAGAAGAAGGACAACAGCGAGTTTACTTTTACTGTCTCCTCTGCTGGCCAAGAAGCAGGAGCTGGTGTCTTCGAGCTCGTCTCTCGACTCAGAATGTTTCGTGACTGTTGTCCGTTCTTGGAAGGCGTTTTGATAATAAAAAAACATAGATTTGCCTGAAGCGAAGAATGTATAACCATGTTGCTTCCGACAGCACCCACACTCCGCCCAGGTTTCGAGTCCGTCAATCTAAAAAGTGTCTTGCGGCCTTCAAAATCTTCAGTTTTTGCACAGTCCCAGGACTATGCCCCTTTCGACTGGCTGCTGCCTTTGGCCAGTGTGGTGATCTGCCACGGCGGCGCAGGAACGACCTTCCGTTCCCTTTGGGCGGGCGTGCCCGTCGTCGTATGTGGCTCTCACAGCCAGAAAGTTTTTGTTGGTTATCCTTCAGTTGTCAAGTTGTTCTCGGGCAAGCAGTGATCGCTTCTAGCTTTGCTCTGTGCTGGCAGGCCCAGTGATCTCCCCGCTGGTGGCCGATCAGTACGGGCACGGCGAGTTCTTGGAGCGGAAGGCCTTAGGCAGCATGATTGAGCCCACGCTGCCCAGCGTGGAAGAGTGTCAGGTGGCCATAGAGAGGGCCCTAGGCTGCGCAGAGAAATGCATGGAGACCGGCATCAGAATGCAGAAGGAGGATGGGGCTGCTGAGGCGGCAGCCGCCGTGGAACGCTCTGTGCTTCAGTTCAAGGCTAAGCCTGCAGAGTCCCGCGGCGGTTGCTGTGTGTCTTAGTGTCCTAGTGGTCCTAGTAGCTACGGTTCGGGCAGCAGTATCTTCCGAACGTCGAAAGTCGTCGTGCTTCGTGTGCTTTCACTCGACGCAAGAGCCGCGGTGTGTGTCGAGGGCACCCCGCGACGTTTTAAGTTGCAGCATGGAGAGTTTGCAAGTGGCCGTTGTGCCTCTATGTTAGCTGTCACTTTCCTTTGCTGGGGATAGCATGTCAATGTGATCGCATCCGAACGACAGGCAAACTTTCGGCGAAGCTGCGAATTGCTTCATCTGTTTTTCCTCCAGTGCACTTGGTCCGGCAAAAAACAAGGCTCGGCTACTCAGTTAGATCATGGCCTCGGGCGCTCTCTCCAAATCGATGCTTGCACCTCTTCTGGCTCAGAGAGCAGGAAAGCAGCTTCAGAAGTTTGTCCCACAGAGTTCAACACTTTTGACCAAAGCCCCAGACTGGCTGCGGCAAAGCCCCAAAGTGTGGCCAACGTCACGACTACTCCAGAATCTGTAAGCCCGCGGCCCTCGAGCCAGCACTTGAAAAGGCGAAGCCGAAACCCAGCCACCTTAAGTAGACAGGCACGAGACTTGCAGAAAAACAATTTGGAGAGCCAAACACAAGGATCCTTATTCGAGTAACTTCGTGTATTCCTGACCACGCTATAGAAATGCTTGGATCCTAAAAAGACCTCTCACATAACAAATGCGCACCCTCTACTTCCAAGAAGAGCTTCCACAAACCATACCCAATCCAGTCCCTAAAAATCTCCACAACGACCTTTCCCAAAACATCCTGATTCCCAAGTCACCAAATCCCGATACTCCCTGGGCCCTATATCGATAACGCTTATACCGCAACAGACCCCCCAAAAAACCTATATAGTCTAAACACTGAAACTCCCTTCTTGGTTTAAACAAAAACCCTCTTGGGAGCTGGAACATGGCTGCTTCTCCTGGCGGCCTCCGCGTCTGAAAAGAGGTCGCAGAGAGATGAGGAGGTGCCACATTGAAGCCTCGTGGGTTTTTTGCTCGGGTTTACAGCAGGATGTGAGGGTCCGGTGTTGTAGGATTTTAGGGTTTGTAGAACTTGAGGGTTCAGAGTTCAGGGTTCGGGATTTACGGTTAGGGTTAGCTAAGGGTTTACGCAGGGGGGAAGCTCCCAGGCCGCTCGCGCCGTGCCCCAGGACCAAGTTGAGTCGAATCTTATTGCTATTAAGTGCCGACCTCCGTCTTGGCGGTACCGGGACCGGTCCAAAGCGCCGAATGAATTGGCGCCAGATGCTTCTTCGAAGCGGCTTTGTCCAGGACCCAGGATCTTTGGCCGGCGGGGTGTGAACCCTACAGGGGGTTGTGCGGGTGTGGAGTCAACTCTGAAGCCACATGTGCGGCACCAGCCCAAGTTCGCGCACCAGGTGTTTCCATACTTGGATCCGGACGGCATATTGTTTCCAACTTTCAAAGTGCGGTTTGTATCGTTCGCGAGAGGCACGAACGGACGTGCAGAAGGCGTTGCGATCTATGGACAGGATTCCGTGCAAGAGGATATGACACAGTTCCCACATAAATTCCAGCACCGCTCCTTCGCCGCGCAGGTCTTCATGGACCCTGCCCGCCCTGCCCTGCGGAAACCTAAACCCTAAAGCCCTAAACCCCTAAACCCCTAAACCACTTTGCAGACCTCGTACCGTATGCCTCGCCTGGATTGTCCGAGTGTGAGAGCCGAAACCCCTAAACCCCTTGTACCAGGAACCTCGCCCAGACATGTTCGAGAGTGCTGAAACCCCTAAACCCCTAAACCCTAAACCGTAAGAGAACTCGGCTCAGGCCCAAGAGTCCCTCAGTGAGCCCTTTCCAGGTCCTCCTCCTTCTCCATGGTGGAGTCGGGACCCCGCCTCGGGCACGTTTGCCAGGACGGCCTTGAGAGTCGATTTGGCGGATTTGGGGAATTATGGCTCCGGGTGTCACAAGGAAGTTTAGGGATGTTTCGATTGCTTTATTTCTGCATCTCCATCCGGGCGGATGCACAATGTGGGCCGCCTGGCCTCATTCGCAGTGGAAGTGTTGCACGCACGTATGGTATGTGGACAACGTACTTCCGAAACCTATAGAACACACTAGAATCCCTCGCAGGTGCTTTTGGGCATGATGCTATCATCGAGCCTGCAGCGCACTCCCTCAAACTGCCCCTTTAAATGGTCCAGGGCCGAAGAGTTCCTGTACGACTCGAGAGCCAAGAGCACCTGCGGTTTGCAGGTAGTTCTTTTCTCGCTTGCTGGCTTCGGCCTGCTGATTGCCCTCATTGTGGCCAGCACGCCGCTAGGGCGGCAACTGAGGGCCTTACTGTGGGAATATGCACATTTGGTATTGCTATATAAATTACAGGGTGTGTAAGGCCCGAGTTCTCGCGACCGGCCCACAATTTTGCAAAGAGTTGTTTGGAAGTTTTGGGCTACCAGCTATGGCGAAAAATCTACTTTCAAGCCGCGTGTTCGGGAAACTTTCTGGAGTCGGAACAGCCTTTCAAGGTTTCGCTGAACTTGTAGTGGATCCGCTTGCTGACACCTCCCCTGAAACCGCTGCACATACCTCCAGACGCGGCCTATGCTAACTTCTGTGTTCGGTATGCTTGTCTGCCACGAGCCACGCGTCCCTCTGCTCGCTGTTGAATGACGTGAAGCTGAGTCAAATCGGCTCAGCAGGACTGTTCAAGCAAGGCGAGTCATGTTCCCCGCCCCTGCCCAAGGAACAGCTAGAAGTCCGAAGTCTGAACATGATCCCGGGCAAGATCCCGCGACCGGACAGAAGCATCGAAAGCAGAGAAGAAGAGGTCCGAAAAAGGCTTGGCCAACATGCAGACTGAAAGCCAGAACGCACACGGCACACACAAGGCGCTCTCACCAAAAGCCGACCTGCTGACACAGCCAGAGAAAGCACTCCGTAGGATGGGGGAATTCCAGGCCCGAGGACGACCCGCAGTCCGCGGACGCCGTGGCAAGTCCGCGGCTAAGAACTCAGGCGGCGAGGGCGCCCTTGGCATCCTGGCAAGATGACTTTCTGTGGGGGTTTAGTTAGGGGTTGGTTTATTGTGTTGTTTGTTTTTTCCCGGTGGGTTGGCTGCAGTCTTTGTGAGGCCTGGACTTTTGGCGAAATTCTTAGGGCCTTTGTCATTGTTTGCAGAGTTTCTGGTGTGTCTTGTCGGTCTTTGCGTGTTAGGAGGAAGCGCGGCTTCTGCGAGCGTCGTTGCATTCAGGATTAGAGGTTCGAGAGTCGCAGTTCGAGCGATCTTGACAAAACATGTGCACCAACGCCAAGCAGATGAACAGAACTACCTAGAGAAGAGGCTGTTGCAAGCGCTGTCGATAGCGGTGACAAGTAGCAGCCATCCTGGCGCGGGGCACTTGCAGGGAGCCTTTGCAGCTTCCGCAGAGCTATTTAGGCTTATCCAGGTTGCCTGTTGGGGATGTGAGGCCAGGTTTGTTTCGGGGAATCGACCAGATGTAATCCGTGAAGGAAGAGCGGGAGTAGTGACGGTGAACTTGGGATGTGCTTTGGGGAGAACCCCAGTACACTCACCTTACCTTGAGACAAAACCGCGAGTTCACCAACACTTACTAAACGAAGCCGGCAAACCCTGAACCCGTTATCATGTGCTCTCGCCGAGTTGTCTTTGCCGAACTTCTCCGTGATCCTGCCGCCCGGGAAGGTGCCAGATGAGTTCCAGTTTCTGGGCCAGGGAGCCTGCATCAATCAGAGGCTTTTCCAAAAACAGTCTTGATATGTGCCGCCCCTCACAGCACATGCTAGGTTTAGTAAGTAGCAAGCACCCTACTCCTGGAACCCCCAAGATTTCTAAACCCAATGCCGGCCAATACCCCAATCCCTGAACCTTAACCCTAAAACCCCGTGCTCATTACCGTCAAAGGAAAGGCGAACCTTTCTGGGGCGGCTCCATGCAGTACATCTCGCCGCCCCAAGCAGACGGCTCCAGCTTGGAGTGCACCAAACTCTGCCAGATGCTTCCGTCCTGCACGGGCTACCAGGTGCCTGGTTAGGGGCTTAGGGGCTTAGGCACTTACATGAAGTCGGCTTGTCAGGGCCCTCTTTTTCGCCGTCTTCTTGGCTGTGGCAGAGTGTAAACAGCCTGGACCCACAGACCGCAGCTAATAATAATAATAATAATAAATAATAATAATAGTAATAATAACAAGAAGAATAATATTGTTAATGACAATAGTAAGAATAGAAATATCAAATAAAAATAATAAGAAGAAGCAGAAGCACAAAAAAACCCTCTGCTCTCCTCTCGTCGCGCAGGCCGAGGGCGCGAGTTGCTTCGTCATCGCCGACGGCGTCTTTCGGCCGAGCGCGGCCCGAGGGGGTCGCAGCGACTCCAGGCGCGAAGCTGAGAGGGAAGAGGGTTTAGGGTTTAGGGTTTAGGGTTTAGGGTTTAGGGTTCATAGCTCATCGCAAGGCCCTGAAGCAGCAAAGGCGGGCAGCAAGGCAAATTCATCAACATGAGAATGCC